GTGCTCGCACAAGGCACGCGGAGCTGCGTTCGATGGGACTTGCACATAGACTACACCATATGCCTCGCATGGATGGGATGGACGCACAGGCGCACGTCCTGCCCTGGCTGCACACATGTATATGTGGGCGGTGCGCAGGTGAGATCCTTCCTGTAGTTGTTCTCGCGGGATTTTTCTGCCTTTTTCTCCATTTTTCTCCTAAAATTTATTTAAATAATAAATAAAATATAATTGTTCCACGAAAAAATAAAATAATTAATTTAAAAAATTATTTAACCAAATAAAATACGAAACTATAATACGAAATACAATATTTATCTGGAAAATTAAAAATATAAAATATTAAGGAGTTTTAAACGGCTTTAGGACCTGAATAAATAGGGGTTTGCATTACAATTAAGTGCAGAGGTTTTTTTTTTGGGTATTATAACTTGATAACCCCACATATGTAAATGTCTTAAACTTGGTTTCCGACTAGTTCACAACCTGAAAGGAGTTGCACATATTGCCTTACTAGGAACTCTGTTCAAGATATACATTACGGTCTTTAAGGCTTTATTCCATAAAGAAATAGGTACAGAAGAGTAACTCATCATACTTCTAACTATTTTTATTAAAGTACGATTATGTCTTTTACCAACCCCATTCTGCTATGGCGTACCTAGCATTATGTATTAAGCATGAATTCCATTCTTTTCTAGGAATTTGGCAAAGGGAATATGATTTTGTCCTGACTCATCATATCTACTATAGAATTCAACACCTCGATTAGATCTCACAATCTTAATCTTTCTATCTAATTATCTCTCAACCTCTTAATGTACACTTCAAAGATGTCAATGACTTAAGACTTATCATGTATTATATATACATAACCATATCGAGATAGATCATCTATAAAAATGATAAAATATCTCTCTCTAGTGAAACAAGAAATGAAGAATGACTCGTAAATATCCATATGAATTATCTCAAAAAGCTCATTACTTCTTGTGGTACCTTTTTTTGTATGTTTAGTTTGCTTTCCGTTTATGAAATATATACATACTTGGAAATCAGTAAAGTCAAGATTTTGTAAAATTTCATCATTCGTTAATCTCTCAATTCTTTCTCTAAAGATATGTCATAGCTTTTTATGCCACAAAAATGAAGAATTTTTATTAAGTAAGCCACGTTTTAAACCAATATTTGAATGCAAAGTAACTAAATCTTGTGCAAATTCATGATTTAGATAAATTTTATATAAACTATCATATAAAATACCAGTGCTAATTGTCATTGAATGAAACACTAAACTTACTTTTTCACAACCAAATAAACTGAATATCTAGTAACATCTAATTTGGATAGTGAAATTAAATTCCAAAAAAATCAAATAAACATAAAAAGTGTTCAAAAGATTCATCTAATGACTAGTCTCTAATAGCAAGTGATAGATATCTACAACTACCACTTCTACTTTGAGATAGTTTCCCATGTAGAGGAACTTTTCACTTTCTTTCGGTTTTCGGATTATAAGGAATCCATACATTAAATTAGTAATATGAGTTATGGTTCCAGAATCAATTCACCAAGTATTAGAAGGAACTTCAGCAAGATTTGATTTATAACATATAGAAGAAAGATTCATACCTCTTTTTTCGAACTAAGCCTTACACCTATTACATTCATTTTCCATGCGACCTTTCTTGCCACAAAAGTAGCAACTCAGAGTAAATTTTTCATCATGACTCTCGTTATTCTCCTCAGGTCTACTATGTTCCTTTTCTTGAATATTCTTTACTTTTATGTATTTGTTTTTATTTTTTGTATCTCCATGAGTAACTACAATGGCAAAATTATGTCCATCTTGTTTTTAATCTCATTTCCTCCTTAATAAACTTGCTAGTTAGTTCATTCATATTCCACTTTTCATTATTGGTGTTTATAATGAAATTTGAATGGAGTAAACTGTGAAGGAAGTGAGTTAAGGACAAATTGAACTAAGAATGACTCATCCATGTTCATACCCAATGCTTTAAGTTTTGCAGCCTTTTCATCCATGTTCAAAACGTGTTGCTATATTCCTTTATGACTATCATATTTCATGATGGTCAATTCAGCTATCAATGTGTCTGTAAGAGACTTATCGGTGTGTTTAAAATACTCCTCCACATATTTCAAAAATTCTGAGGCTATCTCAGTTTAAAGGAGTGAAGTTTTAATGTTAGTGGCAATGGTCATTCTCATAAACATAAGACTCAGTTTGTTTGATTTGTCTAGGCTTTTATTTGACCTAGTGAGAATTGAACCCTTTAATACCACTCTGCAAAATTTGACCTATCAAAAGTTATCATTCCAGTTGTAAGAGAATACAATAAAGTGAGAACTGTAAAAAATATAACAATGTTCATAGTAATGACTCAAGTATAGCTATAATATGAAACTTATAAATGATGATATCACTATAGTTTTTCCTTTGGGCAAAACGTTAACATATATAGTGTTCACTCAAATGAACTTAAAATACTTAATATTTTGTGTCATTTACATGTTACCTTTGGGTATCTATCTAAATAATACAAAACAAACTATCAGTTCATAATTAGTAGAAAATGACTCTCCTTTGGATTAGTCTCAATTTTATAATTATAAAAATATATATGTTATTTTTTTATAAGTCTCCCTTAATTCTTTAATATAGTTTAACTAACACAAGACTCATTAATCTGGGTTACTTTGGTAACTTGCTATATTTATAAATCTTGAGTCATAAAACTACGAAACCATAATTTGTATAAATATACATATATATTTATATTTATGAAATTAACTATAATTTAAAATATATATACATATATATAAACTGTTAGGGTAATAACATATACATATATATAGCTATTAGTGTAATATATATACATATATATAAANNNATAAACTGTTAGTATAAAAGTATATATATATATAAACTATTAATGAATTAATATACATATAAATTATTATTATAATAATATATATAAACTATTACAATAAAATTATATAAATATATATAAACTAGTAATATAAAATTATATACATATATAAAAACTATTAATATAATAATATATATATATATAAACGGTTAATAATATATAAATATATATAAACTGTAGTAGAATTCTAAGATTTGTAAATTCAAACTGGCTCAGATACCAAATATAAGAATATTTAATGTAGAAATTGGTTTTATTAAATTCAACACATCTTAAGAAAAACAAAAACAACAGAAATTTAAAGTTACATACTATTCGAAAATGATGCAATCATAGCGAGATTGAGAGACCCCTTGATAAAATCATTAATTTTTTGATTCACTTCTTCTCTATTTAACTATTATGCACAAGAATAAAGAACTTTAATTGACGAAATACTCAAATAAAAGGGAAACATGTACTCTTTTTATAAATGAGAGAAGATGTCAAAACACATTTATGATAATTTAATATGTTGATAACTATTTTTATTATTATAGTTTAATATTCATAAAATATAATAATTTTATAATTTATTTTAAGGTTACCCAGTTCATCAAGATATCTTTTTTTTTTATAATGGTTATTTATTATTTTAGGTGTCCTTTTATTTGATTTCAACTGTTATAAGTGGATGAAAAAAAATAAAATATGAAGTTAGTGGGTCATCTATTTACTATTGGAATTAACACCCAACACACTAAGAAAGACGTCCATATTCTAGAAACTTTATAAAAAGTCATTTACTATGCCTAAGTACTTGCATAACCCAAAAATATCCATAAATACTTGAAGATTCAGAAAAATACTAGATACTTGAAGTACTTAAAAATGATATTACGTGATTGAAATACTCATAAACGTTTTTAGGTATCAATACTAGGAGTAAAGGTAGATTGACTTTAATAAAAGAGGAGGGAAAATTCATATAAGTTTAAGAAATATAATGTATGATATTTTATAAAATTTAATTAACTTTTTTGTTTTAAACTTATAAGTCATAGATGTAGTTAATGTTGCATTTTATTCTATAAATGATATTGATTGATTGATTTGTTGAATTTCGAAGAGTGGAAGATGAGGAAAGACGATGAGGAACGTGAATGATGATGTTTGGGTTTTTTATTACCATGAGTTTAATTAATGATTATAGTTAATAACTAGGCTAACAATATGAATGAAATTGATGATCCTTGTGCTAAAATTGTTCTATTTAATAGATTTTGGATTAAGATTAAATGTTATAAATGTGAATGATGATAAAAAAAAAATTAATAAAAAATAAACAATCAAATTGGACCGTGAACCAGTCTAAACTAAGTCGGTCCAAACTGGTTTGGGAGTAAATAAAACCTTCTTTAATCTTCAATACATATAAGGTTCATCTTTTGTGCTTAGTTTGATCCGATTCTAGTAGATGAATATTCTAGGAAGACTGAATTTGATCATAAAGTTTTAATTAAGTTTCTAATTGAAATATATAATTTTAATATAAACATTGTGGAAAAAATATAGATACAATTTAAATTACTAAAATTCGAAGAATATATAAATATATACAATATGCTTGTTGTTAATTTTTCTATATTTTTATGTATACGAATTGATTTTTTTTAAAAGTAATTATAAATTATAACTCAAATCCAAATATAATGATGCATATGTAAGAAGTAGATAATTGCAATTTCATGATTCTCGTGGCAAAAAGAAAGTGGAATATCAGCATCGACCTCACTCAATACCAGAATAACAAGAAAACAAAACGTGAATAATGCCATCTCAACGCTCTCACATAAAGACATGCCACGTAAAGTATGGTGTAATGTATCATGAGCCTCACTCCTCTGAATGTTATCATCTTCTTCTTATTTCTTATCATATCCTCAACTTGGTCCGGTAGGCCTCCTTCTCGACATATATCTATATATTTATATATACATATATATACTATCTGTATAGAATTAAAACAATTAGCAAGAAGAGAAGAAATAACATTTGGGGATCTGGGTATAATCTCTCTTGTACATCTTGGCTTCTTAGCCTTTTCATTCAATAAATTAATATTACTTATGAAAAATAAATCAGAAAATGTGATATAAAATTAATTAAGTTTTATTTACATAATCTTGGTTTAGTAAATACAACAAAACGGTGACATTTCTAAAAATTCACTGATCAGGGAAGCACATTCTTCTGCACTTCTCTTTTATTTAATGCACAGTTGTGGCATCCTCAAACAGTTAGTTTGGTTTGGTCTCCATTGTCTTATTTTTATGAATAAAGCCATAAGGTTTCTGCAACTCTAATTAGAATTTCTCTGTAATGGGTCCTCATGAATAAAGCTGTTTAACACTCTTGCTGAAGAACAGATGCAACAGTTCTTGCCCAGAACTTAAGGTGTTTCTTCATATCAGCAGCCGCACAAACCCTAGGAATTTTTAGGTTCAACAGAGGTGAATCAGGTCTCTTTATAAGCCATGCCTCTGATAAGTATGGTCTTATAATGCCTCTTTCTGTCTCCTCTTCTTCTTTTCCTTCCTCCTCTTTCTGTCTTTTGTTTCTGAACAAGCTAAGTCTCTGTAAACCAGGGAGTAAACTCATCATTCTTGGGCTCATGTGTTCTTTCTTGAATACAAAACCTAAATCCACGAACCCTTTTACTTCTTCAAGTTCCAGCTCTTTTAAGCTCCGGCAACTCATGGATTTCTGTAGTCGTATACTCACTGCAGTAGCATATCGGTGTCTGGATTTTCTCGGCCGTTTTTGAGTTGATGGTGAAGAAGAATGTGAGCAAAATGATCTTCTGGAACTAAGACTCAGTCTTGTTGGTCTTGCCTTAATGTCTTTTCCTTGTTTACCTTCTTCTTCTTCTTCTTCATCTTCTTCGCTGTTGGAATCCTCCTAGACAAAAAAGAAAATAATCAAATATCAGTCAACCAAAAGTAAGAGCTTAAAAGGGATCATACATAGTGTTTGTTTGTTACCAGTTTGGTGGGTACTCCAGATGAGTTTGATACAGTGGTTTCTTGGTCGGATAAAGATTGATTTGGTAATGAGGCAGCTTTAGGAGGCTTGAGGAGTTTATTGTGATGAAACAATGAAGTGGGTTCACTGAAAATAATAACTTGGTGGAACCAAAGACGATCCATAGCTCCTATGAGACACATGGCTAGGTTATCCGCCATTGATGAATGAACAGATAGATAGATAAACAGAGATAGAGAAGAGAGAGAGGGGAAGAGAGAGAGTTTGAAGAAAAGGAAATGTAAATAGAAACAAGGAGAGTTGAAGATTGTGGTGGTGGTGAAAAGAGCGAGAATATTGGAAGGTTGCAGTGGGAAACCTGAAAATATAATTCATGGAGGATGTGGTAATGGGACATGAATTGTTTTACTTCCACATATATATTTTCCATTATAAAATGACTATTTTGCCCCTATAAATCTTGTGGAAGACAAATAAGTTTTATACAATGCAACCCTACACAAAGGAGCCTAAAGCCAACTGGTGGGTACGGTGTGTTAGCCATAGAGATATATATCATGTAGGACCTGGTTTGTGCTTTTGTCTTTTCCCTTTCAAGCATCTCTCTAAAGTTAGCGATCATAATAAATATAATATATATACGTATATAATTAAAAATGCAATTGTTTGGAAAGGATAAAAAGTCGGCTTACTTTTTCTTTCTGTTAATTAGATTATGTATACGTAAGATAATAAAAGAATATGTGGTAATACAGTAAAAATATGTGAGAGTTTAATATTGTATTGATGGAGATGATGATATGGTACAAAAACTTCTCATTGTGGGAAACAAACGAAAAAAAAAAAAAGAATAGATATAAAGAGAAGTATAAGTGTTTTCCCTTTAGAGATATAAGGACAAACTATTCTATATTAAATTAAATCAAAAAATAAAGACATCCAGACATTGTTAAAAATTCACAAGGGTTATTATTAAATATCGAAAAAAGGGTTTTAGATGGGTTTCCTTATAGTTAGTTGATTTTGAATTCCCTACTATGTGATTCAGAACAGATCCCTAATAAAGGGTAGCATTGCAAGAAAGTTTTCACTAGGCAACTTCAAATCACCATCCCTCAAATCTAAACTGGTCTGCTCTAACCCATCTCAAGTTTTAATAAAAATCAAATTTAAGTATGTGCTCTTATGCAAGTATGTTTAAAATTAGAGATGAAAATATGTCGGTTCACGAGCGAGTTTTATTAAATTCGAACTTGATTCTCTTTATGAAAAGCAAATATGATCCTAACCCTAATTCTATCAACTTCGAATTGTCATCCTTCAAATCTAAACTTGTATATTTTAACACATCCTGAGTTTTAATTAAAAGCAAATATAAGATGGTATAAATGCAAGTATGCTTAAATATAGAGATGAAAATAAGTTAGTTCACAAGCTGAATTTTGTTAAATTAGAATATCATCCATCCCTATGAAGAGCAAATATGATCCCAACTCCAATTCGAAGCGAACTTGAATCTTTTTAATATTTCATGGACTGTCTTGGATTTACGAGTTATTGGCTCAAATGTAATCGAGTCATAAATATATCATATTTATATTAAAAAATTAAAAATGTTTTTACTAATATATAAAATAGTATATACAAATTATATAAGCAATATAAATATAATTATATTTATTAATACAATATAATATATATTTAATATAAATATAAATATGTCTATAATAATAAACTACTAAATATATATATGGTGAGTTGTAACACCTCACTTATCACTGTGCTAAAATGATTTAGAGATTCTATTTATTCGGGTCTTTGGTCGTCATAAACTTAAATTAATTTAGGTCTTTTAACATTTTTCGTGATTCGTGATTTCGATTTATTTTTATTTTTATTTGTTTTATTAATTTTTATTTTTATTTTATTTTATTTTATCTTATTTTAAATTAAAAAAATTAGAAAAAAAATTGAAAAACAACGAGATGGGAGAAAACTTGCTCGCAAAAACAATCCCGCGAGAAAGTAGTTTGCCCGCACGGGTGCTGAGCAATGTGCGCGCGCACGTGCGCGCACAGTGGCCCCAGGGCATGTGCACAGCGCGCACGTCGCACGCCAACACGCACGGGACATGCACACAACGCGTATGTCCCATCCATGTGCACGACGCGAGGTCAGGACCAGCGAGCGCGTACTGTCATGCGTAGATGGGTCGTCCGCGCGTCATTTTGCGCACGTACTAACGCCGCACTGTGCATGCGCTGTCCATGCAATAGGCCTATGTGCACCTAGGGCCTGCGCACACAGTAACAAGCCTATGTGCCTACAAGCTAGCTTGCAGCACATCGGCTGGGCACTACCACCTCGGATAGTGCACTGCCGCCACCGATGGAGGAAGTCTTCGTCCTTCATTTTTCGTGCCAAGAACATTTTTCTCCTCTCTTTTCACTAGATTTCGCCATTTGGCGTGAATCCAACGATTCTGAAATTCTATAAATTGCCTTTCCCCTTCTCTTCCTCTCTACACTTCCATTTTTTTCATTTTTTAAATGTTTAGAGAGAAAGAGAGAGAGATAGTAACTTAGTGAAAGAAAAAGAGAAAAAAAGGAAAAACGATGAAGAAGAAAACATTAAGGTTTCGGTAAAGAATCTAGTATTACTTTCGACATCTTAAGGAGTATTTTTAAATAAGCAAATTTAATATGATTGATATTTTGCCTATTTTGTATGCCTCTGTGTTCAAATAAGTCGAATTGTTCTTATTTTTAAGCATGCTACGTGAATTACAGACACTTGATGAAATTGTATGTAATAAATGTAATATGTAACCCGTAATAGAAAAAGCAAAAAGAAAAGAAAAAGAAAAAAGTAGAATGAAGCCTTTATGGTCTAAAGTGTATTTGTATTGACATGCATATTGTATCAAGTATCTTGTTAGGCCTTTTATCTCTGAGGAATATCTACTTTCCTTGCCTTTCGGGGTATCTATTTTTCCCTCCCCTATCTAATATGGAAAGACATAAGAGAACCGCTCCCAATAGATGACGGTGTGCCCTCTAACGAGAGTGGTATCGCACTAGTTGTAGGGGTCACCCGTAGATAAGTAATGTCGTAACTATAGATATCTATTAGGGCCACTATGGTTAGTACGATCGTGGTTATAGATCGTACCATGGTTTGGCCAGCCAGAAGTGGGCCTAAGTAAATTATCATATCTGTATCTGATTTAGTCATTCCACTTGGGTAGCTGGAAATTTATATCTACCCTAAGAGATGGAAGTTTGTAACTATTTCGCGAAGCATGACACAAAAAATCTGTGCATTTCATGATTTATTTGATTTTCTCTATTATTTGGCATGATATATATACATTTCATTTTCTGCGCTAACGTACCATTTTTGTATTCAAATAAATGGTTTTCATAATGGTGAGCTAGGTAAACGAGGAAACTAAACGGTAAGATAAAGTAATAAACTCTTAAAATCTTACGATGTTAATTTAATATTATTTTTCTTATTGAGCATATGGAACTCACTCTTTCCATTCCCCCCATATGAGGATGAAAATGAAGAATCATGGGCAGACCTACCCTTGAAAGTCTATGAGGTCTCGTGGATCCACAAGTTTGAGTGCATGACTGTTCCCGCACTCTGATGAATTCCAGTAGCATATTGAAAAAAGTGGCCCTTATGTTTTGTATTTTGTAGCCACCTCTGACCTCAGTGATATATATATTTGGAACATTATATACATATATTTGTAAGGAATTTGTTAAGGTTTGATTCGGCTGCATAAATTTTATCATGCACTCGTTATTCTAAATCTGTATCTGACACCCATTTGCCTCAATTGGCACTTGGGATGTCACAGGTGGTATCAAAGCAGAATTTTGCGAAACAAATTTCTTGCATTGAGGCCTAAGGTAGATAAACCTTTTAGAGTACCTTGGGAAAAATAATATCCTTTTTTCAAAGATTAAATCTCCAACTCATGTCTTCGTTTCTTTTGTAGGAATGATGCGAGGAAGACCATCTATAAAGCGTACTGAATGACCTGAAGCCCCGGATCATCCGACCAAAGCTGAATTTGCAGAACTTTTCTGAGCCATTCAAGGATTAACTACAATTGTATGATAAAACTAGGTCAACCCTTGTCCACCCTCTACCCTTGAATTCCGAAACATAGATCGATCTATCTCCCACAATATAGTGAAGTTTAGGAAACTTAACCTCCCACATTTTGAAGGTGGCCCTGATCCTTTAGCATTCGAAGCCTGGATCCTACAAATAGAAAAGCTCTTCTCTGTACAAGACTTGACCGAAGAACAAAAAGTCCCTCTTGCAACGTTCATGTTAAACGATGAAGTTGAACACTGGTGGCGACTTAAGAAAGAAGTCCTACCTACCCTTACTACCTAGGAAGTTTTCATGGATGCATTTTTTAATAACTTCTTTCCTATTTATGTTCAGAAAAAGAAATAGGAGGAATTCCAGGACCTGTGCCAAGGAAGCTTGTCTGTAGCCTAATATGCAGCCCGATTTGTTTAACTATATAGGTTTGCCCCTTTGATGGTCACCCCCAAAAGCTGAAAAGGTAAAAAATTTCTCAAAGGCCTTTATGCCGACATCTATGATCAGGTCATGATGCTAAAACCCAACTCGTATGCAGAGGTGCTTAAATATGCCCAGTTAGTTAAAGATCTTATCTCAGTTAAACACCAACACTTTGTCCGAGTTCATGCGCAACAACTTGAAAAAAGATTGCATGACTCAGTAAATAACCCTCCAGACTAACAACCAAGAATTTCCCTTTCTTCTGCCCTACCCCCACCTACAGCTCCACCTGCCCGAGCTAACCAACCTTGTCAACATTATGGTCATTCGTATGGTGACTTGCCTTGTCAGTGTATCAATAACACCTGCTATCGATGCGAAAGCACCCAGCACCTTATAAGAGACTACCCTCAACGACCGAAGGATGTAACTCGACCCATAACATAAGGTTGAGTGTACCACTTAGATGAATTTGATATCCTTCCTACTCCTGTTCTCATCCAATGTATGTTTTCTATTTATAATACTTCTGCCAAGACTTTGATTGATACTGGTGCAACTCACTATTTTATTTCCTATGCATTTGCTTGTAACTTAGAATTTATACCAAAATCTTTAGAAAAAATGCTAGTAGTGAAAACTCCCTCTAAAGGACTATTAGAGGCTCATTGCGTATATAAGGACTGTAGGATAAAAACTTCAGCAATAAAGGTATGTGAAAACCTGATATTATTAGATTTTGTAGGATTTGATGTAATAGTAGGAATGGATTTGTTGGAAAAGTATAAAGTTATAATAGACTGTGAAAATATAAT